TTATAAAAGAATATGTAGATAAAAAAAGTGTCGATATATGCCTTCATTTTTCTTAATAGTTAAAGTTAAAACTGAACTTTTTAAAATAAAGTATTTATCGTGTCATTTTCACCAACTAGCAAAACATTTTTATAAGTTTAAAATGGTATTTTTTAATATAATAACCAAGAAAGTTTTTTTTTTAACTATGTTTATGAACGGAAATAATGTGTTAATTACGTAAAGTTTGAAGGCTAATAACCAGAAAAAGTCTAACTTATTTTTACAAGAGAAAGATGCAAAGTTATCATCTCTTTGCTTGCGGTCTCCGAGATCTGTAGACACAGTGACGTCATGAGGAGGGAAATCGTAGCTTCAGCTCTAAGAGCGGAGTGAACTAGCCCTTGTATTCTCTTTAGCCCTGGCTTTATATACTAGTGAATGATGTTAAACTTTTGTAGTGGTAGTTACGCCACAGCTTTTTACAACAATTCCATAAAATAAATTGTCATTATAAATGATACATTAATAAAAAATATACTTTTTTTTTTGTTAATTCCTTTCCTTCTATCTGCAGGGGCGCTGGCTGTACATCAGTGGCTGTATGACCATCAAAATTAAACAGGCCCAACTACGAGAAAGAGTGCGGGCTGAAAGTCGTCTTAGGAGACAAACAGGTGAATCTGATCGGAGCCACAGGAGAGTTTCTCGATCTAGTAGCAAACCCGAGCAGCTTGCCCCTGAATCTGATCAAAACCATCATAAGAAAGAATAAGCGATACTTTCTTGTTTTGTACAGTTATCAATTTGTAGTCCCAAGGAGAAAGTATGTGAAAATATATACATGTTGGCAAATATATTTTAAATGACACATTGCCATTTTATTTTTGTGTATGTGTGAATGAACTGATAGCATACATTTGTAGTGAGCACGGAATAGTTATTTAGTGATTTTTGTGTTATATCTTTGTATAAAGAATGTTACTCATGTTTGTATGTTTAGGTAACCAATCTGATTAAAAATCCAATTTGATTACAGTAAAAATTTTGTTGAAACTTTTTTTTCTCGAATCTCTATGGATAAATTACTCATATAAATAATGTTTTGTTTTCATTTCTTATGTCCAGAAAAAAGAGAAAAAAGAAAATTTCATATTTGCAAATTATGTTATCATAAACAATGATCTCTAACTATTTTTTTAAATGCTAATTGTTTGAATAGTTTAACATTCCATGGATTTTTTTTAAAAATCTCATTTGGCATATTTATTCTGGAGTAAATTGGTGTTTAAATATAATGGTATAGTAATTTCTTTGTTACACGAAATCATTTTATTAGGAAAATGCTAAAAGTTGCTGTATGTATTTGATTTTATCTTGTTATTTTCAATGAAATTTTTTTGTGCTAATATTTAACAATCATTTAAGCTTTACGGAGTAAAAAGCTGTGAAGTTATTTGCCAATATTTATAGTGATACATTTCTGTGTTTTTGTTCTTAGGATTAATAATAAATTTTGCAAATGTTTCTAATCTGTGTAATGTCATTCACTTTTTATTGTGTACGTAGAAACTTTGTTCCTGTCATTAGTTCATATCTTACATGATACTAAAGCCATGCTTAATTTCTTAGTTATTGAATTGTAATTGTTATTTTTTCTCGTAAACCTGGAATTCACCAAAGCCTTTTTCTAGACCCTGTCTGAAAAAATTAAAATAAATACAAATGAAAAAAGTGTCAGAAGAGAATTTTTTTACTGCTGAATTCTGTGTAGCTCACAGCTTTTCTCGGATAATTTGATTGAAACTTAACCAATACATTTTGCAAATTTTATTCACAGCAAAGACTTGACTGATTTTTTTCCCTCGTGTATTTATAAAACTATATGAAATCGGAAAAGCAGGAGAGAAATTTTCCAGCACCAAAGATGTATAGGTAAAAAAAGTTTATAATTTCAAAATTGGAACAACCTTTGCATTAACTCTAGTAAGGAATTATGCTCTCTGTGTAATAAGGTTAAAGTTATTTTGTTCAGAAATAGAAACATCTTTTTCTCTCTTTTGACCTAAAAATTTATCGTAATAACTTCCTTTAAGTTATTATGGTGATTTATTTAATCTTGTAACAACGATTAATTAGATTTATTTGCATTAAGTTCTTTTTTTTAATTTTTTGCACCCATAAAAGAATATTAGTCATTCAGAATTTCAAATAGTAATTGCTTAAGATTGTACTTTTATGATTTATGCAGCTTAATTTTAATATCGTCTCCCAACATTTTTTTAATTTTTGTGGGTAGTTATTCAAAATTGGCAAAAAAGAAATCGGTATAATTAATTTTCGATGGATAACAACTGCTGTTCCATACTCCCTTTTTTCCTTGTAACAGCTTTTTGATATTGTTGGAAATTGTGATGGTTTAAAATCTATATAAACTTGATTAACTATATGTGTGATATACATGTTATTTTGTTGATTTATGTTTCACATCATATTTACCACTGTGATTTTATATTTTAATAGTTGTGTAGATGTTTAATTAGTTTCCTTTTGTTCATATGTTATTCATTATTATATATAGATTTTTTTTTCTGATCTTTTGTGTTTATTCTTTTGTAAAGTTTACATTTAGAAGTTGCGAATAATTCAATCCCTATATACTAACTGTAAAAGTGTATTAAATTAATCAAATCGTAGTAATTTATAATATATTTTGAAAGTAATAAATTTGTTTAATCCCACTAATTTTTACTAAAATTATTTTTTAATTAAATATATTACAAACAAAAAGTAGTTTTTTTTGCCATCACCTAATTAGCTTTTATTACTTTTTGCGTAATACTGTTAACAGTTGTGACACTATAAAAATTTTTAGCATATTTAGATCAGGGTTTTAAATAAAAATCTTTTTCATGCATACAATGATTGTTTGTATGTACAATTATACTTTTTGTAAAATTTTTGTTTAGAAGTTACAAAAAATTCAATCCCAATACTAACTTAATACTGATACTAACTTTATACCCAATACTAACTTTAAAATTTTACTAACTTTCAGTTAATACTAACTTTAGTTTAGTTAATACTAACTTTTAGTTAATTTAAGAATATTAAATCAACTAAACCAAAGTAATTTACCATAAATTTGAAAAGCAATAAATTTATTTGACCCCAATAATTTTTACTAAAATTATCCTTAACACCTTGACATATCATTTCTTGGTATAGAAAGGATATTTAATTGCTCTGTAAACAACAACTCGTAACGGAACGTTGACAGAGATGCCAACTGTTCGGGACACGCCGAAATAATTAAGAAAACGGTAAATAACTACGAACTAAATTTTGCAAATATTTGACTACTTTTGCTTGCTTTTTAAAAAGGTATAGCGTGACATAATTACTATAAAGTGGTGAATTATATAAGTTGTTTAGAAATAGTGGTGGATAAAAATCTACTAAATTGAATTTATTAAACCAAGAATCACAAATGATAAACTACCACTTGAAAATATTTATTTGCTGTCCGGAGCAAGTTTGAAGCATCTTTTCATATTTCGATTGAGCCTTCAAAAAACAGCTTTAAAGCACGGAACTGTCATAAAGGATTGAGCTGCTTTCCCTGGTATTTGCTGGAAGTTTCAGATCCTTGGATACTCAGGAAGTAAAGGTAGCCAATGGGCAAAATGCAGACCCTATCACCACATTTATACTGCTAGTCCTGAAAGCTTTAACCTCTAAGACCTTTTAGCAGCCGACAATTGACTGCCGGAAGAGGGCTTTTTTAATTGAATATCATCATCTATTGTAATAAATTTCATGTCATCCAAATCCTATTTTTTTTAAACAATATTAAAAAATTGTTTTATAAAAAATTCTAAGATCCTACTTGGTAAATCACTGAAAGACAATTTAAAATATAGAGAAAGTTGGTTTCATTATTTAAAATATTCAGTAATTAATCATTTGACTAGGTATTGAAATTGAGTTTATTTTTAAAAAAGGGGAAAATAACTTTAATAATTTATACATGCTTTTAATATTTATAATAAGAAATAAAATGTAATCATTATTCAAATTATTTTAAAGAGTCGGATTCTTCGGGTCACCCCTATATCCCTATTTTTTTCAGAACCCTGCCCCCTCCTTTCTTAAGTCATACATGGTCAGGCGAACATACTATATTTTCTTTTCATTTAAGTATAATCAATTTTACTTATCAGACCTGTAAATATGTGCAGATCAACTCATAGTTAAATTTTCTGAAACATTTTTGCTAAGTTGTAACATATTGTTTGTTTGTACATTCGCTTCTTGCCATTTTAATATTTGTAATTATTTCAAAACGTAATGTGTATTGATGATCTCTGTCTTGAGTTAACTGATGATGTCTGAATGAAGTTGATTTTTTTCCTTCTTGAATTATTAAGTTTTTGTTATTTTTAAATAATTACATTTATTTTGGAATTATATTATGAATGTAAAATAAAATATTAATGAAAAAAATCTTGTGCAGGATTGTACTTGGGCAAAATTTCTATTTCTTAAAGCATTTTCTCTCACTTTGACAAGATAAAAGATTATAATTTTTTTTATTTGTTTTATAACTGTCGTTGAATAGCCGACCCAATTTTGAGTTTATGACTACTAATGTTTAATGGAAGGCCTTGTAATTTTGAACCCAATCAAGAAGTCAAGGGAACTCTTGGATCAAATATTGAAAGAAAGAAATTTACCTTTGTGGAGGACTTTTTTAAGAAACTTGCAGTTAGCTTGACAGCAACGGGACACTAACCCATGATCCCTCTACCGTTGAAGATATTTTACAACAGCACTGTGGTCGGCGCAAGCCGAGTGCGGAATTCGAATCAACCAGTCATGGCTAGGTTTCGAACCCGGTTCACCTCATTGGAAGGCGATTGCTCTATCCCCTGAGTCACCAAGCTCAAAAGATTTTATTTTATAGTCGTCGTTGAACAGGTGACCCAATTTTGGGTTTACAACTACTAATGTTCAACTCCGTAGCCTTGTAATTTTGAACCAATTCGGAAGACAAGGAAACTCCTGTATCAGTACCCCCAGAGATATGATTTGTTATGGGAACATGGAGGACTTTGTGACTCGACAGTTTTTAACTTTCATCAGTCACCATTTACTACACGTGGAGTGTTCGACCGGAGGGGCTTGAGCCCACCACTTCTTGGACATTGGCCCAGTGCCTTACCAGCCAGGCTATCCCAGGCTTAGGCTCAATAGATTGCAATTTAAATACAGTTATTCCAGCAACAAAAATTATTTACATGAAACATCACTTTATGGGCATTCCTCCTGGGAGACCGCCTTGCATTATGGATAGTTTTCATCGAAATCCTGCAATCTTCGATGTATAATCCATTATACAGGTAAGTTCAGTACAGAGGTTTACAAACTGAGTGGCCGGAAAGAGCACGTTTTAATGATTGAGAATTTTATAGAAACCTGTAGACCAAACTGCCATATTACGCCACTACAGATGCTTTGTTGTATGTTTTATTATTTTTGTAGTTATCATAATGGTGGCTCAAGAGTTAGAGGGTTTGCCCCAATTAAGATAACCCAGTTTCGAATCCCAGCGGATTCAAGTTGATGCGAATTCTGTTCCCGGTTTGCACTGATCGCAAAACTAATGTGAAATACTTTTGTGGTAGACAGAAAATGGATTAGAGTCTCCCTTGCCGTCAGTCTAACATTAGGAGGTTTTTGTTGCTATCCTCTCCATGTAATGCAAATGCGGGTTAGTTGCTATCAAAAAGTCCCGTTTGAATACTTGATTTAGAAGTTTCCTTGTCTTCTGGGCTGGGCTCAGAATTATAAGGCTACAGAGTTGCTCATTGATATTCATAAACCCTAAAAATGGTCGACTGTTTAACACTGGCTGCAAAATAAAATTTTACCTGTCTTGTCGTTTGCTGGTTTAGGAACTAACTAACTTCATTATTAAAGAAGTAAACTGTGATAAAAACAACTGTTTCTGGGCCCATTTAAATAAAATTTTCGACGTAATTAGCAAACTTAAAATTGAAATAACGTAAATAAATAAGATTACCGATTCAAATGCTGACGAACAGCTAGTCAATAATAGGGAAGTCCTCTATTGGCGTATGAAGACATTTTAGGCCTTAAACTGCTATGCAATTTCCAGTCCTTATGACATGCCCTGCATTACCGTCCATAAATCTTTATCGGTAAAGATGCTTTTAATATTTTTTCATTTGAGTTGCAGGTCTTATAGCAGTAGTCCTTAAATCCCCCCGTCCCCCTTTTTTTTTGTCAAATGTGTCGTGTAATTTTTTTCGTTTTTTATATTTTTTCCCTTATATATGTTGAGAATTTCCTCTGCAGAGTTGAAACTTTTAGCTTCTAACCTTATTAAGAAAAAATAATTACATTTGCACGAAATCGGTTGAATAATTTTCGAGAAAAGCTTTAATAAGTGACTATTTAAAATTGAATAACACAGAAACTATTGGACCGATTTCATTTGAAGTTGGTATTTTTAGTAATTTAAAATTATATAAAACTTTCTATACGCTACAATTCAAAATTTTATCGACTGTTATTAAATAAATTAAATGTTGGGGGGAAAAAAATTCTTTGAAATATATATCGTTTAATAAACAAATTTTGTAATTGTGTGGAGAAAAAAATTCGATCCTCTCAAAACGTTCTAACAATGTAGCGAAATATGCAAAAAGTGAAATTAACATTAAAGGACTTAAATATTCGACTACTCATCGTTGTTCTATTTTTGGTTCTCATTTTTTAGATCGCGACTGTAACCCCATATTTTAAAGAGTTCAAATCGGAAAAAAGGCATGTCTATTTAGAGAAAGTTCCTTTCTGTATCGTAACTTTAAACATCTTGCGCTCATTATTTAATGTTAGGTCTTCGAATTATTAAAATTGAGTTTTGGCGTATGAAAATCCGATCATTAGATAAAAGGTTATTCAGAGTATTCACTTTTTTTTATACGCATTGTACATATCATTTTTTTTCCTCAACAAGTTCGAATTCTTGATCCCTAAGTATGGGTTATAACAGCTACGGTCATAAAAATATGAACTCAATAGTTGGTTAAGAGACCGGTCGAAAGTTTGGTTTTCTTAAAATTAGGCTGTGAACAGATCGTAAAAACCTTTTCCTAGTAAACCACCGAAGTCTGCCGGTGAATGACCACTTTTTTGATCTGCGCAAAGACCGAGGTTGCGTGGTATCGGTCCTCATTAAACTATTCTACTGTAAAAAGCTCGACTTTTCTTACCGGCATAGTTAGTCTATAAAAAGAAATCCCCTCGCCTCGAGGTCTTAAGGCTGTGGAAAAGAAGAAAGGCATTTATTCCAAAGAGGGGAGCTTCTCTCTTCCCTGATTCCTTTCCTCTCACCTTCACTTGGTTTATATATTGTTCCAACACTACTTCTTGAAGTTGTTAAAACTCGTAACCATAGTCACAGCCACTGCTTCTGAATTCTTTCCATAGCTGGCCTATTAAAGCAGTATCTTTGCATCTTCTCTGCAAAGGCTTAAAATTGCGAGCATTCGTCATCGGATCATCCACGAGGATGTTTCCCAGACCGTCGCCAATAGCCCTTTGCGTAGCTCTAGTACAACGTAAATAAAGTACTACATAACTTTCTTTTAACATACTTAAAATTATGCCTACCGTTATATATTACTCCCTCGATTCCAAATTAGTTGCTACATTTCAAGTAGATTTTGTCATGAATAACTTTCGATGCAGTTTAGTAGATGGAAAGGTATTTTATCTATGTCGCACTGGAGCTTCACAATTAGCTATTGGCGACGGGCTGAGAACATCAGAGGATGATCCGATGACATGCCATCAAAAGTTTAGTTGATGGATAGCAGTAAAAAGGACTATTCCACCAATAATCGCATAAAACTATCTTCTAGCTAATGAATTCATCAGTAGCATAATTTTATTGACGTCTATGTACTAACGGTTAGTAGATAGACATCAATAAGGTTAGTTACTGACCTAATAAAGTTATACCACCAATGAATTCATGATTCATAATTTGGAAGATAGTTTTATGCGTTTACTGGTGGAAGGGTCCTTATAAAATGGGAGAACGTGTGAATCCTGGATTTTTGAACCTAATTTAAGGAGGGAATGCTTGGTAAATAAATGTTGCTGATTGATGTCAGTAGTACCCTGAAATCTCCAAAAAATGATCAAGCATTCAAAGAAAATCATCAGTATCAATAACCAGAGCAAAAGTATTCAACTATTGCAACTAATTTGGGTATGTAAGTACAGTAGAGTCCCGATAATCCGAGCACCGGTTATCCGAGTTTCCGCTTTAACCGAGCTATCAAATATTTTAAGGATTTTTTTGTTCCAGTTTATTTTTTATTTTTAAAAATACCACCGAAAAATAAATCTGAATTTTATCTTCCAAACACTCAGGAAGACGAAATCCAACAACTTGATCCGATGAGATTATCGTTAATATCGTCAATAATGAAAATGAATCTAGCGAAGATGATGACGACATTATTCATGATGATAGACAGCGATGATTAAAATCAACATATAAAAATCTCTCATACAGATGAACTAAGAGCTATCGAAAATGCTGTTGAATATATAGAACAACAAAAAGAGGTGACACCAGCCTTCCTGTTATCCCTAAAAAATGGCGAAACATTGCTGCAGAAAAGCACCAAAGTTATGTAAAACAAAAAAAGATTAAGGACTTTTTTTTAAATAAAAACTATTTAATTCTAGTAATGTATGCTTTTTATATGTTTTTAAGTAAGCTTTTTCATTTTAACATGAATTGTATGTGGTATACTCGTATAAATGTAGTATTTGTTAAAGATATTACATTTATACCTACTCTTTTTCTTTCCTTTTTGTACTCTTCGTTTTAACCGAGTTTTTCAGCTATCCGAGTTAGTCCGGGTCCACATTAACTCGGATAATCGGGACTCTACTGTATTTTATTTACGCCACACTAGAGCTTCATAGTAGGCTATTTGCGATGGTCTGGGAAACATCCCTGAGGATGATTCGAAGACATGCCATCACAATTTGTGATGTCACTTCCTCAATATAAACATACATCTGAAGGGGGAGGAAATTTTCTCCAGATCCCTGTACCCATGGTACTGCTAAGGGACCAACCAAAGGATTCCACAGATTATAGGAGCACATACATCGCATGTACTCGGTGGGTCATAGCAGAGTCGAGGATCGAACCCCGCACCGGGAGTCCGATTTTCTAACCACTGTGCTACCAAGTCCCGCAACTAATTTGAGACAGAAGGAGTTATATTTTCCAATTTTTCATAATTTCTTAATAAAGTCATTAATGATATGACACACGAAAAAAATACACCTCTTAGCAGCTATGTTAT